GCAAACTTGGTAAGCAAACTATATGTTATTTCTCCTAGTTTTTAGATTTGTCCTCGTTCCCCTGTTGTCTAAATAATTCCCTGAATATTGGCATGTTTCCAAAGTTCTGTGTAAGCTTCTAATTTTTCCTTTATTATTTTCTTGTTCTGTTTGTAAATTGTTTGATAATGCTGTTCAGCTGTCTTGTTCAAATTTTAATTGACTGTGTGCTCATTTCACATATTCTTTCTTCTGTTAGAATGAGTTTAAAAATATTTTTAGATGTTAAAATGACATCAGTCCTAGCTTGATTCTGTGTTAGCTTCATAACACTTTCTTCAGTTTGGTGAACTGTGTTCACAGCTTGTGGTCAGTTTCTAGTACTTAAGCATTTTAATCCAAGTGAGCTTCAACTGTCATTTCTGTGATGCTTTCACATGTTTTTCTAGAAATGCTTTATGTGTTAAATTCGTTCAAATGTTCAGCTATCATAACAAGACTTTCTTCATACTGTTGTCTTTGCTGCTTGCTTTATCTACAAAGAACTGTGTTACCAAAGTAAATGTAAGTAAATATTATGACTTACTCTGAATTTCTGTATTCTAGGAAGAATTCTTCCCCTCAAGAAGTTTTGTGGGGTTTTGGGTTTTGTTTTGGTTTTTTTTAGGGGTATAGGAGTATGTTGTAGTTGGGGGTTGTTAAAGAGCCCAGGAGAGAGAGGAAACTTCGAGGCTATGTTTGAAGCCTATCCTGTCTCCTCCCACGTTACAGTGTGTATCTCGAGCTCTTGTCTTTCATAACTTCCCAGCTAGTTGGAATGCTGTGTGTATGATCTTGGAGCTGAACTTCACTACCTGAAGGGGTTTGATGGTGGGATTATTGTCATAATTGCATGTATTTTTAGGCTGAATGATAGCTCAGTCTGGTGTGGGGATTTTCATAATATGTGATTAAAATGGAGAAATTGGACTGTCAGTGTTCTAAATGTGAATGTCCTATCCTCGTAAACTGCAATTTGAAACTGTCCAATAATGAAGTTTATTTTTTGTAATGTTAGGCTTTCCCCAAAAGAGAATGATGTCTGTCAAACCTATGAAAGTATTGATCTGAAAATACCTTGCTTGCAGATCAGTTTGCTTCAACGGGTATCTAACTCCCAAATGTGTTTTTAATTTCAAAATGGTACTTAAATTTGACAGCAATTTTGTGCAGTCAGAAGTCTGACTACTTGTTGGAATATGTTGCCCACTTTTTAACAAACACGTTGAATTACGTTCTATAAGCCAAATCTTCCAGCCATTCTTGAAGTAAACCTGCACTGGGGTCTGTACTGCGGTGAGAGCTGTATGATTTGGTCTCTTCCTCCAATCTTGTATAATTACAACACAGTAGATTTGGGAAAAGTACTGTACACTGTAACTGGTATTAGAACTTTAATTAAAACATGTTCTCTCTAATAGAGTATACTGCACTTCATTGAAATCATTAGGATGCATCTTTTATGTAGAGGTGCTATTTGTGTTGATGGATGACTGAGAACAAGCTGTTTAAGATGTTAATGAAGCCATATGTACAAGGCCTGTGTATCTTAAATTTTATAAAGAAATACTGAACATTTACTCTTTGTGTTATGAAGTATAAGCCATTTATATTTAATATAAACATCTAAGATCTAATTTACTTAGTTTACTCATTTTATTTATGATAAATCTTGGCTTTGGAAATTATTGCTGTAGTCAGGAAAATATAAAATCTTTCAATTTTTATCATTGTGAAATAAATTTCAGTCAGCGTTTGGGCAAGTACTAGAGACTCTTTCTGTACTTGTCAAGCTTTCATGTGCTGTGAAACAGGCGTCTTAGAGGCTTCTTGCAAATGTGTTGCGTGGTAATGTATGCATGATGCTATAATACGAAAGAACGATGATTTGTAGTTACTGAAAAGACTACTTACTAATTTATGTTTTGCTACCTCGTTGAGTGAATGCTAAGTATGATTTGATTTTTTTTTTTTGTAGTTTGGGTTAATTTTATTTTAACTTATTTTCTTGGAATTTGCAATAATTTTGAAGGATGGAGGAAATGAAAATATTTTCCAGTAGCTTTATTCTAGGACACTAAAGAACCAAAGTCTCACTGTATAGTGCTACATCTTTCTCTGGGGGTTCTGTGGTGTTGAGGAGCCTTTGAAGTAATATTAGGTTTGGCATACATAGCACTTAACGTATTTGTTAAAGCAGCAGTTTACAGGTCAGGGGTTACATGTGCTCTTTAGGTTAACTCTTAATATTTGAGGCTGCTCAGTGGTGTATGTAGTGTGGGGCACTAGCGAAAACTTGAGAGTGTCTGGGAGGAGATGCTGAGAGGGAATGGGGTGTGCATGTAATACAGGTGGTCTTTCCCCCTCAAGCAGGTTAAAGCAACTAAAAGGCCGTTTGTCTCCATAGACTGCAATGTTTAAAAGTCAGTGTGGACTACAGTTAGGAAGTTCATGAATGTATGAAAATGTACGATAGATGCAGTGCTGTATGTGAATGTATTGTGGCAACGTAAGGGTATAAGAATAGCTAGTAACAATAAAGATGCAATACTATACAGAGTAATTTGTCAGCTTATATTTTATGAAAAACTTCTTGAGTAATGTTCAGTTTCTATTTACTTTCAGCCCTGGCATCCTGGAGTAGATAACTGTGAGGAGAAACGTTGCCTAGAATTAGCATAGTAAAAAAAAATACAGTGTACTGTTGAATTAAACTTCATCAAATATAGTATGAGACCACTGGTGTGAGTGAAGAAGGTGACTCTCAAGAAGTTTTCAGAATGTCTGTTGGTTAACTTGGAAATGGGATTCTTTGAAGAATAATAGTTGTAAAACAGATTTTTTTTTTTTTATTGCCCCTCCCCCTTTTCATTGCTTCCCACTCTTATATTACCACTGTTTGCCTTTGGGATAACAGATTTTGTTAATTCTCTTTGAGTGAAACAAGTGCCTTTGATGTAGCTAATTAAAGCTAATTTAAACGAAGTACTTGGATAATTGAATGGCCATCCATTAAGTAAATCAGTAGATAATGGTTTTCTTCTAGTTCCAATTACTAGAAAAGAGCAACCCATTGCCTCCTTTTTCTTTGCAAAACTTGTAAAACTTCAAACCTCTAGCCGGTTTGCTGAGGTGTAGTGAACCTTGCTTCAGGCATCCAAGTGGGAGGTTTAGCTTCTCTGTGTGGAGAAGGTAGACTTCCCTCAGGAGTTGTTCAAGGTTCTTT